ATGTCCACGATGCGGCACAGGCGCACGATGGCCGCCGTGGCCTACGCGCCCGTCGGCTGCGTGCACGGGTCGCTTCCCAGGCGGTCCAAGTCCACCGATCGGCTCAAGGAGCTGAGCTTCCGGTTCCAGAAGTTCGTCGGTCCGATGAAGTCGTCGTCCGCCGGCGCCGAGGTGCCCGTGTGCTTGAAAAAAGATAAAGGTAAGCGTCATCGTCGTGCGTCACGTGGCTGCGCCGCGGTTAACGGTAATCGGTGCCGGACATGGCGGGGGTGGCAGAGCCATTGTTCCGGCCGATCGCAACGGACTTTTTCAATGACATAACGCATTTTATCGTTATCAAACATCGAATACAATCGCTACACACTTGCATTTCATTAAAATATATCTTGTTCGTTTTACATATTTTAACCGCCGTTGACTACTACCGCGCAACGCGTTAAGCCGCGTCCTAACTGAATCCGTGCGTTGCGTTGCGTGCGATCGCGTATCGAACAACGTATCGATGGCAAAATTGACGTCCGTTTCATACGTGCGATAGGTCGTGAAATGTCGGTCGTCAACATGCCGTTAACCATTGTACAACGTAAAATGTTATTGTCCGAAAGTTTAGTGCTTAAGTTGATTATTTTTTAAAAAAAAAGCGCAAACGAAATGCGGTACACCAAATCTATAAAGATAGGCTTGAATTTAGCGAATTTCATCATTTGCATACTCAGCTACGCGCTGATTATAATCTATTTCATTCTTACACGCGAAGGACAACAAGTACATACGCGATCTTTAAATTTTGGATCCCATTTATTCCAAATTACCGCTCTTCTTTGTACTTCAGAAATAAGAAGATCCATTTTTTAAGCGCAAAATAAGTATGTAAATACGAGAATATTTATTTCAATTTACGTAACAAAATTAAGTCTTGCCCGCAGAACGTTGCGTTGAAAAATAGAGCATGTTCTATTTTGTGCGGTGCGATGAAACGTATCGCACGCGTCATACGACCAGTAAGGACATGTCCGTACTTTGCAGCAGTTTGTTTTATCTGCGTGCACGCAATGCTCGCGACGCACGGATTCAGTTAGGACATAACGGTTTAGTTAGGACATAAAGGTTCGCTTGTAAATGCCGCTATTTAACATTCGATAACGTGCCGAGCTCCAACCGTACTGCCTACATCGGTTTCGATACATACAACTGAATTTTTTCACATTTTATTCGAAAATTGTCTTACTTTATAATAAAACAATAAATGTTCATAATCCCTTAAGAGTATCGTAAAAATTAGATGATGTTTTCCGTCTATAGTGAAAGGTAGCCGAAAATCAGGTACCTGTGCAATTCAATTTTTACCAATCCAAAATCAATACTCCCTTAAAAAAATTATAAAATACGAAAATAACATAATATTTTACTTCAAAAAATGATTATAGATTAAAATCGAGTCCTTTCCATCAAAATCCTAAATAATGATATTTCCATACCACAAAATAATATTGTTACAATCGAATTCCATTAAATAATCGTATTAAGGGGATATACTTATAATAATAATAATAATAATGCCAGACTTATAGTATTATATGATTACCGCTGTTTTCGTGTATGACATTGTAAAAACATAATTAGTTTTCATTATTTTCAGTGGAAATATTGATACGGAGTCACGGCTTAGGTTATTTTAAATCGGTCTACAGCAGTATAACTTAAAAAGTCTTTAGCATTACAACTGATGGAATATACCTAGACGAAAAGTTACAACAGTTTTTGAACGTTCGTTAATCCATCTTTAAATATTGCTAGTAACAAATGAAATCACCTTACTGTAGATTATAATATACCTATTTATAAGCTATCAATTTTACCATATAGTAATGAAATAGTTTATCGAAAAATATATCCAAACGCACATAATAATAATATGTTATATTCTCGATAATGAAAAAAAATCAAAATTACTGATCTCCACAACAGTGTTTTCACGTTGCTCGTTCGACGTTTACGCGATATCATATTTATGTATACATGTATCGGCGGTTACGATATCCAGTATAAATCAAAGGTTGCATTAGTCATCATAACATTCATCGTTTGAGCTTAAAGTCTGAACCTCGGGAAGATATTACATAAATGTTCAACGTTTTCACAACCGTATAGTTATTAAAAATATTACTCGCGTATAGGATTAAAATTCTCAAATACAGGACTATATCGCAGTCGTGACGTGTTGAATTAATTTTTGGTGATAAGCAAAAATGTTTATACGGTACCCCCACTGCGCTCATACCAGCGACTTTATTTGATATGCCGAAACATAAAATTTAATAATTACAAAACATGCCGATATTTGTACAGATATCCGTAATTCATATGTATTTAATTGGTTGATTTATAACACCCGCAATGACGTAATTGTGGGGGGGGCAAGGGGGGCAAGTGTCCTCTCTGATCATTTTTTGAGAGATAAAAGTATAATTTCCCCTCCCTCCAGATAATCCAACAGTACGAATAGCATCCTTTATTAATGAACTCTTATGGATATTGCTTAACAATATTGGTACCTAGTACATGCTACCAACAATTTATGTTTATCTAAACCATAAAATAAGTTAAAAGACTTATGTAAAATCAAACAATTAGATATAGAGTGTAAAATACACACAATAAAAAAATGTTTTAACTGGTGAGGAGGAGGGGTATCAGGGTTTTGGTAATAATAAATATATTATATTGCCCCCTCCCCTAGATTTTTTCCCAGTTACGCTACTGAACACCCGGATAATAGAATGGGATAAGTTACAATATCGAATGTATGGGTGTCACCGGTTTCCGCCAAAAATTAGCTTTCCATTTTCCGCCAATACCATTTTTCACCAAATTAAAAAAAAAACGTCATTCCTTTTTCCGCCAATTATAAATTATAGGATTTTAAAATTTGGGAACCCCTTAAAGTAAGTATTTAATGATATTCTTTTACCAATTAAAAAAATAACCTCTGAAATACTCTAACTATTTGGTAGATAATTACATAGGAGATGATTGTAAGTATCCTCCATCACTATGAGCTGCATTATCAACAAGTTTGACTTGGACAACAAACGCGTGTGAATCTTTTCATTCTTTATTCAAAGACAATGTTTATAAACGAACACCACATATAATGCCATGGATAACTGTACTTATAGAAGACATTCAAACAAACGTATATGTTACTTTAAAAAGTATTAATAAATGTAAAACACCGAGAAATAATATTATTAAAAATCGTAAACGAAATGAAGAATTAATTTTAAAATACCATAAAAATGAAATAAGTAGATACGAGTTCGTAAAACTAATATCAAACCATTATGCTAAATGAAGTTTAAGTAAAAAATGCAGACAATGAATAAAAGTGCAATGACATGCTGTTATCAAAACAATGCAAATACATGTTTTATATTTATTATTTATTATAATTAGTAATTATTATTGAGTAATATAAATTATTTTACAATAAACTCATTTTGTGGTATTCTTTCGTAAATTTATAATAATATAATATATATGTATTGGTTATTTTTTTAATTGGTAAAAATATATATATACTTACTTTAAGGGGTTCCCAAACTTAAAAATCCTATAGTTTATAATTGGCGGGAAAAGGAATGACGTTTTTTTTAATTTGGTGGAAAACGGTATTGGCGGAAACCGGTGATACCCGAATGTATTGTTATTAATCCCAGTGTATAGCAGTACCCGCCACCCTTTCCGTAACATTTCGATGGTTCAGTTGCTCCGAAATATTTTTCGTTTTCCGTTAACGAATGCGGTTTTCTCGAAATTCTGTAGGTACGTTTTCGGCGTGGATAAAATATTACGCGAGTTAAATAAGAGTAGGTATGCGATGAGAATGTTTGAAGCTATTTGTCAGCGGCAAAAACTTGGGATTCGTAGTTCTCAATGAAATGCAAATGTACACGCTACCCGTAGAAGACTAATCACGTGCGTACGTTTACATTTTATACTCGTAAGAACATAAAAGCTGCACGGGGGGGGGGGGGGGTGCATATTTTTCGGCTGGAACCGTTGTTTTTACGTCGGCGATGCAGAGGCGCAGAACTGGTTGGAATCACGGGGTTGGCGAAACAAAAGAGATCAATACACGCATATGAAACTCTCACACCCCCTCCCCCTCGGACACGTTAGCTATGCGCTAGAATCACGCCCCTGCCCGGGACAACGGTCGTATTGATAATAATAAACCTGTGACGGTACCGGTTCCAGGGTTTAACATGCACGCGGAAGGGAACACTGGTGTGCCGTTTTTGGACTCGCAGAGCACGAGCAGTTACACGTCGGACATGAGCGATTACATCGAGACGTTGTCGTTGTCTTCGCACAGTTCATCGGACACCAACAACGAGAACCAGAGGTGCGTACACACACCTACCCCGTCCAAGTATAACCGACGAGTTCTTGAAGTTTTTGATTATGATTTTTTTTTTTTCCGATTCCACAGGTTCGGTGGTCGACCGGCGGCCAAGACTACGCTGAAGCCGCGTTCCGGCAAGGAATACCATCAGATCGGGTTCTTCATGGACGGCGACTTAAAGGTGACACGACACTTTTGTTTCTTTCGATTACCGTTTTATTAATTATTGGAAACAACGAGCCGTTTGTGCGGCCGTTGATCCGTTTAAGGCAACACTTAAATAAAATTTAATAAGAAACCTCTACTTCGCGGTTAATTTAACATTAGAGCTCGGATGTTATAGCATCAAAGGGTAGTAGATACGAAAATACGCGTTTCGCTGTGATTTAAACACTCCAAAAATGAACACTAAAATCACGATAAATAGCACAAAAAAACCTTTACTCAAAAAATGCTGCATTAGTTAATAAATTGATAAACACACTTATATGCACGTACATGAAAAAAAAAAAAACAATTGTATAAAATATGATTTTCCAACGAAAGTCTCAAAACTTCTTCCGACGGTTTTATGAAAAACACGAACTAAATTAGATTTGTGTGCGCAAGTAGACCCAAAAGTAGAACCGAAAACGGGGGTGTTATAAAACCAAAACGGTTTTAAATTTCAAATCCTTAAGTAGCGTGAATAAAGCGCACACGACGTTACTCCTCTGTTTTGATCAGTGTTCCGCAACAATCAGCAAACGCTAAAGAATCCGAGCCCGGTCTGACGCTAACAGATTCGATCGCCATAAGTCTCCGCGTCCGACTGTTATTAAAATTTTATTTTGAACTATAATGATTGCCGTTGTTTATCGCTGCTCGGTCTTTCTGTACGTAGGCCAAATCCAGTATACCGCCAGTACCTGAAAAGCCGGAAACGCCTCCGTCGAGGTACAAGGCCGAGGCGCAAGAGAGCAACGTGGCCTGATCGCGAAGGAGAAGCCAACCGTCCGCGCGACCTCGGACACCGCATAGCGCAGAGAAGAGGGGAGACGAAAACGACATCGCTGCTGAACTACGCTGTACATTCGATTTTACTGGAAATAACATATCACGTGTACAAAAACTATTACTTTAATAGGTGCAATATGCATAAATAACATTGATGTAATTTTAGTGTTGAATTTAAGACTGCCCAACTTGACAACTAACTGTTCTATACAAACGGATGTATCATATTGGAATTGTAATACTTTTATGTATTTCATAAAATGAAATATTGCATTGTATCCATTATAATAACGGTTTAGTCGTAAGAACTAGTCATCTATAGTCAATTTAAAATTTCGTAGTGGAATGTTTTCTTTAGTGTATTATATGTAACTAATAGTAATAATAATAATATTAATAATAATAATAATAATAAAAATATTTTATCATATTCTTAATTTATTTACAATATATATATTATGTTTTAAACACTAAGATTAACTTACATTTAAAAATTTTGTACAATTTTTTTTTTTTTTTTATTAAATATTACAAAAAAAGGAAAAAAAATTGTCAAGACGTTTTTTTACAAACTATAATAAACATACAAATAAATGTATTTAATTTTGTGTTTACTTTTAAACATCAACAACATTTTCTTAAATAAAATCTATGATCCACCAAATTACTATTTGATAAATTAATACAAATTGTATAAAATATTTATATAAGTAGTACGAATAATATTCATCATACATGCACAAATTAATTTTTTTAGGGTATTCTTAAGTCTTCTTTTGAGAACACATTTTATCACATACAATAATAGTATAACCATAACTCGAGGTAAATGTTAAAAAGTAAATTAACTTTAATAAATTTATTAATAGTTTTATTATTATAGTAAAATATTAAAATGTTCATTCCTTAGGATTGAGGCCCTCGAGACAGTTCTTTCAGCTTTTCGATCTTCCATTCTTTTATTTTTTCTTTCAGTTCCAAAGCTAAGAATAAATCAATTTTTAATATAAAAATGGATTAAATACTACAAACATTATAACAGCTTCAATAATAAGTCCTTGTGACCACTAATAATTTTTAGAATAAAGAACTTTTTTGAAGGAAATTAGTGTCAAATATCTCATAAAAATATACTATAATTTTATATTATAGATTCTATTGAAAAAAAGCTATGAATCATTAATTGAGTCTTCCAGTTGCAAAAGGTAGTATGTCCAAACAAATAAAGTTTTCACAAACAGCAAAAAACTGATATTTCCATTAATATTTTATAAAACGTCACCATTTTTTTTTCATAAATATATATAAAAAAAAACATTTTACTTTTTTTAGACTACAGAAATCGTGGATAAGTAGTTTTTTAAATAATTTATATTTAAAATTGGACATATTCCCTTTTGCAACTAAAATATGGACATACTACCTTTTGCAACTGGACGACTCAATTTATATAGTATTAAAATTAACATTAGTTTTGATACTAATAATTATTTAAATATTATAAATTATGTTAATTATGTTCATTCTCAATATTCAGTTTATTGACTTTAAACAATTAAATTAAAACGTATAATTTAAAAAAATATTTTAATTACTATGGTTTAAAATTTTAAACAAAAGAGCATAATTATCATGTTTTTAACTTTACAATTGAATCGTATTATATCAAAGCTATGTCGTGGGCCATAATTATTCTGGTTAATTTTAAAGTATCTTTGTTGTACTATTGCCAAGTTAAATTCATAATTAAATGTAAATGATTAATTAGATAAATACCTTTCCTTAAATTAAATTGGTCTAAAGCCCATCCATACAAAAATAACTATCAATTATATTATTAATGATATTATTTTTGGAGGTATGAGGTAATAAAGTACTTAATTATTTATCGGACACCCAGTTTTCAGTCATGTTATTTCTTTAATCATTAGTACGCGAATGGACAATCATCCGAGGATTTACCACTTATTAAAGTTAAGCCGTAAAAAAAGTAATATACAGAAGTTGAGTGAAAAATAGAATCAGTTTAACTGATATGTGTGCTTTTAAATTTGAAAATGATTTTAAGCAAAAAAAAGAAGGGTGTATCCGCATAAACAATTTTATTTTTTCTATATATTTTTCAATAATATTGTACCTGGAGTTAAATCGTCTTCACTTAAAGGTTGGCGATTAAATGGATCCGTTTGTGAATTTAATAAATGTCGTACAATAACTGGTCGATCCATAATTTTTCCACTACTAGGTAAAATAACTGGATCATCCATTAAAGTATCCATCAATGGATCTACAATTTATTTATGATTATTAATTTTATGTTAAATAATAAACAAAATAAATTTTATAATACCTCTAAATTCTTCTGGAGCATCATTGAAATCTACTTCTTTTTTAATATTTTGAATAGATACTTCATTTGCCTTCCTAGCTAAATCTTGAAATTTCATTATTTCAATTTTTGATGAATTTAACACTCGTATCATTCGGCTAGCAGCATCTTCAAATAATTCCATTCGGAAAGATCGCTTAAAATATTTAAAAAAAATTTATAATATTAGAGTGATTTTAACATTATTTATTTTCATTGAAAAATTACTTCATCAGCAGCTATAGCAGCAGCAAACTGATCACAATCCAAGCATAAATAAATATCAATTAACTGCTTAAGCAAACGTCTAGGATCCCAACCATAATTTTCTGGTGTTTTGACTTTTAAATTTTTACATTTTGGACCACAGAGCTGTTGTAAATTGAAATTCAACATTGCTGTAAGGCGATTTACCAATTCAGGTCGCATAAATGGCTCTTTTATATCTTTTGTTAAGTAATGAAACATATCAACTGTTTCTTGAGCTAATGTTAAATATGAACTAAAAAAAAAACATAATAGTATAGAAGATCATCAATATTATTAAAATTTCCATTTTTACAAACCGGCATTGTCGTTCATCAGCAGAAAGCTGTCTTGTTCGAGATTGCTGAACTTCATCAGTCAAATTATTCCAAGCAGTAGTATCTGCCATTTGCTCTTGTACTTCATGGATACGCTTTAACGACTCCAAGCTCTCATCCAACAAAAATGTTGTATCATTTATTAACATGTTCACAAATTTAACAAATTGTATACCAGTTCTAAACAGATAAATATATATATATATATATATATATATATATACTATAGAACTTAGCAAATTGCAATTGTAAATATTTTACTTGGATTCGGCAATAACTGCACATCTATGCATAGGACTTTCCCATAAACTTTTTAAAATTAAACTAATATGGTAACGAATAGTAAATTTATCGTAAAACTCAGAAGTTGCTCCAGTAGATTCAATTACTACGGAAAAAAAATAATATGTAATTATTATGGATATTAAATAAATAATTACTATACCTGTATAAAATTTCATAAGAGAAGAAGGAAGGTGGGTGATTGAAAGCGGATGACTCATCATCATGTTATTTAATATTTCAGTCTTTGGCTGAATACTTGGATTTAATACAAATAAAACTTCAATAAGTTTTGCTATAAGATAAGGATTTTTAAAAGGTGCCGGACAACAAATACAAACAAGAATCCAAGTCAAGAGTGTATCGAAGAACTTGAATTCTACAGCCTTGGGAGCATATCTAAAAAAACAATTCTATGTAATAAAAATTGAAAATTATCAAAACAGAAAAACTTACTGCAAAATGAATAAAAGAAAATCTGCAATGTCTTCAACAAACCATTCTGGAATAGCAGCTAATATATCTGGAATTTCGGTTGGGAATATTATATTAGCATTTGGTATGTATGGAGTACCTTGAAGAAGAGTCATCATAAACTCCGCAACGGTAGAATAAAATACAATACAACGGGTAATAAGATATGGATCATATAACACAAGATCTCCACATGATTTACTTTTTACTAGTTTCTATGAAAATATAAATAATTTGTAGTATTATATTTTATGTATCAAACACGTTTGCTGAATAAAAATAAAATGTTACCCTCAGCTGAGTTTTCCATTTTCTCAATAATTCTTTATTTCTAAGTGCTAATCCAGGGTTATTTTTCCATTCGGATTCAGAATTTGCTATTTCATCAATCTATATACAGTTTAAAGTAAATAAGCAATATAAAAATTTTATTTGATGATTTAAAAAAAAAAAAAAACTAATAGTACTCACCACTTTTTGAAGATCTCTTACTGTTCTATGTCTTCTGGTATGTTTAGTGAAAGCTGGTATTAATGCTATGTGATGACAATATAATGTTAAAAACCAACATCGAGTAGAAAATTTAACTTCATTAAAAGATTTTCCTAAACATAAATAAATCAATAAGATACATGATTTATAAGGAGTAATAAATAAAAAATAAGTATGATGAAAACAAAATGTTTAATACTAAGATTAAATTAGGAACCAAAAAGTTATGGAGGTTAACCTTATGTAATACTTATATATGAGACTGGGTACCAAATAAGAATAATAGATAGCAATGATTCAAGAAAAGCTTTCTTAAGATTTTCAAAATAAATTGTACTTAAAAGAGGAGGAATAATAAATATTAATGCTTTATGAAGATGATAAAAATAATTTAAAAGTAAATTTAATAAAGAAAACAGTTAAAATTAAAAATAAAAAAGCTGTACTAGGACTAAAAAATATAGATGTTGTTAGGAAATTTGATATATGCCCTAAGAAATGGTGAAGTGGTTTTTAAGAGAAAAAAGAGTACCAACCCATGATATGATTAAATAATACAGAACATAGTAGTAAGGACAAGAGTTAAGTTTGTGTTGTGTAACAGATGACTAGTGTAAAAATATAAAGGTTAGGCTGTTTTCCTCAGCAAAGAATGAGATTATGAAAGACAATCACGGTAAGTTCCCATGGTGTATGATGTTTGCAAATACTAGCTTAGAGTAAATAAAAGACTTGAAGAATAGAGAATGAAAAATAAATAAAAAACAATAATTACAATTATTAGAAATAAAACAGTGAGTAATGGTGCACAATTTTGGAAGAAGAGGACAAGGAATTGATGGAATAAAACATGTTATGAAGAAAAAGTAAGTAGTGGATGAGGTTGATATATTTAAGTAACTAGAATTGATTATACAAAATATAAGTAGTTTAGAGGGCAAGAAGAGAAATACTAAGCATAAATAGATAAAATGTAGCAATTGAATAATAATTTTTTTTCATAGGTAATACGATTGTCTAAACTGTATGAATCAAACTGCAAATTAAGAAATTGGACAACAAATATAGTAGTCCGGGTTTATTCGATCCGGGTTAAGTTTTCTATCAAAATATACCTATATTCTGCCAATTATACTGACCTGCTTAATGATCGGATAAGACTCATAAAAACATATTTGAATTCGTCATGAAGTTGACTTGAAAACGACTTTTTTACTTTTTTGAATTATTATTTTTATACCCTTAAAAAATTGATTTTAAATAATAATAAATTTATAATGTAAATATTATGAAATTGATAAAATAATTTGAAAATGTAAAAAAAGTCGATTTCAAGTTAACATCATGACTAGGGAACGGATTTATATGTAATAAAAATACAGAAATATGTACATATATATGTAAGTATAATTTATAAAATATGTGCTAAAAACATCCAAATATGTGGGGAAAAAAAATTTAAAAAAAAAGTGATTATTATTATTAAATTATCAAAAAGATTTGTTGCATTGAATTATTACAATATCTTGTAAATTATCAAATGCTGAATGTCGCCTATTAGGTATCAAAATATTTTTAAAACGGCTAAATTATCGTTTCACATCAACCGATGTATTAAAAGCATATTTTAAGTGTATACTATCAGAAGGCGATAATTCCAAATTTTTTTAAGGTTGTCTGCCATTCATTATGTCATTGATTATTTTAAAATCAATATTGCCTGGAATTTTTTCTGTAACAGCATGAATTTTCTTTTTTACGACATCTATCGGTCCGCTTACGAGTTTTAATCGCTGATTTAACAATTTGCATACTATCATTTGGGGACATATTTTTTTATTAATAATTTTGTTAAATTATTTTTAATTAAAATTAAATAATTTTCAATGTTTCATTTTGCATAATATTTTGAGCTTTTCCAATAGCGATAAAAGTTTCTGGATCTAATTTTAAAATAATTTCTTGTATTTTCGTACGAAAAAGACGTATGAATGATGAAATAATTAAAATATGTTTAAAAATATTTAAAAATTAGTGAAATATGTAAAAATATATAATTATACCAAAATATGTAAAATAAAAGTATCATAATTTTAATAGGAATGATTTAAATCATAAACATTTCTTATCGAATCTTAAATATCTCGTTTTAATAAAAATATGCATTTACATATAAATCCGTTCCCTAATCATGACTAATTCAAATATGTTTTTAGAAGTTCTATCAGATGACCAAGAAAACCAGTATGATTAGCAAAAAATTAATTCTTTACGAAAAAAATAGAACCAAATCATATTCTTCGCAACAGTGTAATTTGACTTGTGCATGCGCGTGTGGAAGTAACCTTCTTCCGCTAATCGTTGCCGTTAATTATAAAGCCCGCATTGTTATCAATCTGTTTATTTTATATTATATTATACCTAAATGGAACTGGGCTAAATATTGTCATAATTCAAAGGTCATAAATAAACTCTCAAAGATAAAACATAGATAATTTTGTAAATGAAAATAAAAATTTTAGAAATTGGCTATAGTAGTTCATTCGTGTTTAGTTTATGGTATAGCTAAAATACAAAGAAGTTACTTTTTTAATATATTATAAAATAAGCAATTCTGTGATATCTATATCTATTATTAGAAAACTGGTTTTGCCATCGCGCCGGTGCAATGGTCATTAGCAGCATGAGGTTAATATGGCCCGGCATGGCATATTGAAAGAGGGTTTAGAGCGGGGTAATTGCACACACTAGTGATAATTTATTTTGCACAGACTCTCATGGCGTTCACGTACGCGAGTGACAAATTGCCTATATTCAACCCCTTAAAAACTACCTGGATCGAATCCCCTTAAGTATGAAAATATAAACAATTTTATACGTCTAAAACAAGTTCTAAAATAAATTTAGGATGACAATCATGCATCATGTTTTATACAGGTTTTTTTTATTTCAGATGTTTTCTGCTTTTCCAACAAACTTTTACGGAATTTATGAAGTATAACTTAAAATTAACACCAATGGCACTTTGTCACTTATATAACAAATATTTTATTGAAGTATGATAAGTTTATTTACTTTTTAAGCGATAAGTTGCAATAATTACTATTATTTTCTGTATCCTATTGCCTTGAAAGCCTTAATAATTAAGATTGATATAATTTATTTAGAAGATATATGCATTATAACTTATAGAAGAACACCACTACAAATAAACAAAAATGTAAATAAGACAATTAAAAACATACCTGCAACTGCAAGCCAATCTATAGCTTCTTGAGATGAAAATTTCAGTCTTGTATCAGATGATATATCAATTAAAGAATCTTTTGAATTAAAAATATACATTGGATCAACTTTTTCCATTTTAATCTAAAAATTAAAAATGTGTATAAATAGATGGATAGATTTATTAATAACTTCACCAATTACCTTCACTGAAAGCTCTTGCAAAGCAGTTAGCAGATTCAACATGAAGCCATCACCGGCAACTGTTCTTTCATCTACACGCATTTTACAGCGCTTCTCATTATAAATCAATATTTTAGTAATATAAATTAGTGTCATATCCCGTGAACTTAAATTTACTACTAAATTATACATGATTTTGTTCAATTCAATCTAAAAATAATTAAAATTAAACTATATATTAACAAATGCATTAATGTTTAAAATCTTAATTTCTAAAAAAAATTAACAGACATTTTTTTTATTAATTTTTAAATGGTTAAAAAAAATTTTAAAAACGCCTTTACACATTTGCTGCATCACTCAATAATTAATAGTCACATGTCTAATGTAATTATAATTTAAAATAATTTGCAAATAAGCAACCCTTTTTCATTCTTATTTTGATAGATTTAAAAAAATATAATTAATTTAATTGTCAATATTTTGAAAAATATAATATTTAATACAACAAATGTCGGTTATAATCAGGATGGACTACTCATATATGAATCAGCAATAGCTAAAAGCTGACAGTTGCTATAAATGGTGGTTAGTTTCTCATCAATAACTTAACAAATTTAACCATTTCTAAGAATGTTAGCCAATAAAGTATATTTATAGCTTTAAAAATCAAAATTCTGAAAATTTACTTATTTGTTATATTATCAAGTTAAAAAAAATAATTAAAGAAAAATGTTATATTAATTTTTTATAAATAATTCATACATGTAGTAATAAATAAAAATATTATGTCAAATTTTTTGATAACCCATTCAAAAATATTTATGATCCAAAATTGAGTAGTGATACATAGATTGAAAAATGATACAATATCTAAAAGGCAAATCAAATATACGGGAAAATAATATCATGATTATCAAATATAATGATATAAAATAAATAGACTGTATAACAAAACTCTATAAAATTTATAATTCATATGAAAATCAATTTTAAAATTATTTATTATTTACATACTACTTTTCATTTTCAAAAACTATAAATAATATAATTTATGAACAAGTTTCATAATTTTTTATAATTTATTTTGTGTCAGATTTTGACTTTAATCCCCAAAATTTCAATATTTAATGTTAAATTCCTGAAGGTTCAGTTACTGAACAGCCTCCCTCTTTAAAATGATTCATTTCATGTAAATATTGTTCTTTAATTATCTAATTTGTTTATTGTACAAATGCTACACTGCAACATTGCTACAGTTCGTAAAATTGTTCAATAAAAAAAAAAAATTCAAATTTCAAAGTACCAATTCAAAGATTATAATTAAAATGTAATTACAAATTTGAATAAAATATAACCAAGTGCAAATATATCATAACAAGTATATATTATACACATTAAATAACAAATAAAATTAAAAAATGTAGTTTAATTCTACTTTATAAAATTACCCGTTTATAACTTACCCGGGTAGTTTGCATTTCTTGTCTTAGAGTTCCAATTAACCCAGTTTTGTCTGATAATGTATTAAAATTCAATAATTTATCAATTACTTTAGGATCATCTTCAGCAAATAATGAAACTGACAGAAATGGTCCTAAATATGATGTCCAAGCCAGTTCACGACCACCACTTGGAGTTACTCTTTTTGGCAAAAATTGACGCTTAAAATATAAAAATTAATTTTATAAAATTAAATATTTTATATCTTTTATATAAAGACTTACCATTTTAATTAATAATGAACAAATAGGCAGATTATTTTTGGACATATAAAAAGTCAATGAAGTCAGTTCATTAAGAACTTCAATGGGTCTACGATGTGTAGATCCTACAAAACTGGCACTTTGCATAATACGATACAGATGCTGCAATAATGGACTAAAAATCTAAAAAAGAGCATTAACAATATAAATTAAAAAAATAATAAATAATTTAAGTCTTTATACTTACTTCTTCAAACATCCGAGGTTTTAAAGTTGTACTAATTAACAATTCATTAATGAAACCCCTAGGCATTGTACCCTGTATTAGGAAGTGGGTAAGAGGAGATATTGCAGGAAATAAATTTCGAGCACTCTCTCTATGATCCGAAACCCAATCATAAGTTAGTAGAACAATTGAATGATTCACACATTGTGAACGTATGATATTTAATGTTCTGGAGACTATAGCAGAACTACTTCTCTATAATTTTTTTTTTTTTTTTTTAATCATTAAAAAAATTTAATTTTTATCAAATAAATGAAATTATAAATTTTATTTTTTTTACTTTAGGATATTGGCGTTGTTCTTCTTCAATACGATTATAACAATCGAATAAATATTTCAAACCACCTGAACAAGGTAACTTTTCAGCATGAAGTACATTTTCCTCACGACGTTTATATTTTTTCATAATTATATTTATAGCTTCATTTATACACATACATACAAGATCCTAAAAAAAAATATTACAATATTCATGGTAAAATTAAAAGCAACAATTAGAATGATTAAAAATACATTTTTTTTTTTAGATATTAGGTCATTAATACAGTAAAAAGTTTATAAAAATACTGAAGGAACCAGTAAAGTATAAGTCTTTTTATCCAATACATTGTACAAATTGATGTTAACAACAGCACTAATCTAATATCAGTACCATAAGATTTATGTTGTATTAAGAAATATGGTATGAAAAATTGTAGGTACTATAAAACAATTTCTACTGTATAGAAAATTGTATTTACAATAAAATGTAAACTGTCTCCATTTAAAAAAATATTCGAGATTATTAATTGAATATAATTTATTATACTTACTGGTAATTTAAAAGCATTATAATCATCGTCTCTTTCTCTCAAAATACCAGCTGCATCTGGCAAAAATAAACATTCACTATTTGATTCATTAAAAGTAACATTTAATATTCTTAAGGCCACAACAAAGGTTATATCTTCTCTGGGAGGATTCTAAAATATACAGATAAATAGATAAATGTAAACAATTATCTTATTTTTTAGGTAAAAAAAAACTTACGGCTTCCAATGGTCTTTTTCTTCTAATACTTTCTTGAAAATTACAATCTTTAGGTTCATCAACTTCCATATTTTCAAACCCTGAATCTTCTTCATGAGCAATAATTGTAGAGGACTCAGGTGGTTTAATTGGAGAAACAATTTGTTTTTTAGATTCAACATCAGTATTGTTATCATCAACTTCCATAGACAATTCTTCTGGCTGAGTTGATTTGTTTGGCTCAGAAGTAAATGTGATTCTAGTGGGTACTGCATCAAATAAATAATTAATTACTTTAAGAATAAATAAATTAGCTAAGAAATTATTTATATTACATAGAGAAATAACTTCAGAAACCATTGGAAGAGGTGGTGGCACCGGAGGAACTCTTGTTGTACTTACAGCACCTAAACGTGCTAAACGACGTCTTCTAATCTATAAACAAATTAATAACTCTTTATTAATAATGAAATTTTAAAAATATTTAACTAAAAGTTTACATGTGCACTAATAAATTTTTTTTTTCTTTTTCCTAAATCATAGTATGATGATTATTAAATTATAAAATAATAAGTGACAATTAGTATTTTAGATAGGTAATAATATACATTCAACTGATTAGAATAAAGAGAACTATAGTATCCATAATGGATTGAATAATTTGTAATATTTTATTATTTATTTAATTTACAACATAATTAATAATAATAATAGATATATTTTGGGTACTACAAAATACAAATCATCATAGTAACAAATCTTATGGAAATAATTGTACGCATTTAAATTATTTGATATTTAATAAGTTAAAAAAATTTATATTAGGATATTTTATTTTTTTTTTTTAATAAAATACAATCATTATAATTTAACAGATAATTAAGGTAATACCTAATATATTATAATCCTTTATTGTACAAAATAATACTTATTATTGTTCGATAAATGTATAAGAATATTTAGAAAAAAAAACATTAAACCAGATATTATACCATTATTGAACAAAATTCCTAAACTGGAATTATGACAATATATTACTTTTTTCTTGTTCAATTACTGCAATGGTTAGGAACATATTTGACTTTGTTACCAATCAACAATCAATAAAATACTAAATAATATAATGTACTAATACATTTCAGTTATAACAAATTATCGGGTAGTTATCACTTATCACCATAATAAAATGGTATTTAAACATTTGTCCATCAAAAATTAGACAGGGGACTTTAAATGACAACAAAGAAGTCTAGATCTCAACACAAAATCATAACACACAAATTGAATGGCAAGGAAAACAAGACGACTATTGACAGGCAGAAATCAATCGAAATAGACTACCAATATATTGAGAACGTACACATTTCAACGAATGAAACAAAATCCATAATTTTCAAATAGATCACAGGAAAACGTCAGAGGTGCCATACACTTTGAAGACGACTTCGTAGTTGTTCAAGGAAATGGTGACAAAATATTAATATACACATAAATAACCCACATTAACAGTTCAAAATTATTCTTACCTCTTCGGGGGTTAGGCCACTCATAGCTAAACTATTCGACTTCCTATTGTTGTACTACTTTTTTACATCGACGGTAGACACACAAAGCAATGACTCAACGTCGGAAACAATATGTGGGGTCGGTTGGTGTGCGCAAAACAAAGCGACCAAGTTAGGCCAAATTGCGTACTTTGTGATGATCTGTTCACAAATTCGTATGCTAAGTGTGTGCGCGCGCGTGTGTGTATGTGAGCTTCGACAGAGAACAGTCGAACGAAAAGGAACAAAAAAAAAAAATAAATAAACTTTAAAGAAATGTACTGATCATTGCTTGGTGAAAACAGATGTTTCAATGAACAACGTCTGGTCGGGAAAAGTATAGAACAGTGGTTCTCAATCTTTTTAGGACCGCGACCCAAATTTTCTTCCAAAAATCTATCGCGACCCCATAGTTTTAAATTTACAGAATCAATAAAAATAATTTCAAAAAACAAATTTTTATCTATTTTATTACTTATTTATTACTTTATAATAATAATAATAAAGTATTTTTTATTATTAATATTAATATTTAAATATTTAAATATTTTCTATTAGTTTTATAGTCTATAGTCTATAGTCTATACAATTTAAAATAACATAAACTTCTTACAATCTGTATAATTAATAAAACTTCTCGCGACCGCCCAAAATTGACTCGTGACCCCCTAGGGGGTCGCGACCCACAGTTTGAGAAACGCTGGCTGGCAAAGAGGAACGGGGTCACTGACACAATCTGGGGATACGGTCGACAGTAACGAGCGGCCGTCGCTAGGTTCATCCTGATCGACATCGCCGTACGTTATCGCGAGACGGACTCGTTCGTTATCACCGTTGTTATCCGGTCCGACGTCGTTCTCTCGTCGGAAGGGTTCAAATTGTTCACCGTCCCGAACGTCGTCGTAAATCGACTTACTGTCTCTCTTCTCAATCGAAAAGTCATTGGTATCCGACATTCTGTATATCCGTGTATACGATTGTACATCGTCTAACATGTTGGCCACTGTCAAAAAGTTGGTATTCGGGATGAGACCATTTATGAACTATGTGAGTACAACATTCAAAGTAAAAACGCGGCGAATATACGGATATCGCCTGCCCGTCGTTCGTATTGATTTTGATATCGATTACTGTCTACGAAAATGAACTCCGTGTCTGTTATCTGTTCTTTGGTATTGGCTTACTATAAATACTATGCACTATCATGGATCTTTATCATTTGGATACATTTTTGAAATCATCGTCGTGTACTGAAAACTTTTTATTCGTAATTGATTCAAAACTTTTAGATTACTAAAATTCGGTTCAGAATCCAAAATTACATTGCAACTTAAAATTTAGCAACATTTGATTAATTATAATTCACCATAAACTCCAAACAAACTCTAGTAGTACTTGAAGTAATTTAACATGTGATTTACCTATTTTATGTTATGACCTTAATAAGAATTTATTAAAACCTAATTCTAATTGCAAAATACAAAATTATAATTTTTTTTAGTTAAACATACTTATATTGTTTTATTTATTATACATTTACTACTTTCTATTATTTTTGTCAAATTTATCGTATAAATCATGTTTTTACCTAAGAAATGAATACCTCTTGTAGTCTTATTTAAAAATCAATAGTTATTATCATCTTTCTGCTTCTCTATAATAATTCATATTTGTTATTTAGTATATATGTTAAAATTTACCAATTTACAAATCTGTAGTTAAACTTTCCTAGACTTTACATCATTGAAATTTTAGGTACTGCCAAACCATCATATTCAATACTTTTTATCTATTAGTCTTATTTTATTAAGTAGCCCTCCTCAGATATATCACTAATTACTTAACAATAACATGTAATTACCAACATTTACCCAACTTTTGTTAATATTAATTAAAAAATATATAACGGCACCACTATAATTATTTTTATGAAATATGATTTATATACATTTATTTCAGTGAACATGTTTATTGTGAATAAGTAATAATATATTGTATATTTTTAAAAAATATAAATAATACTTATATATAATTTGTTTTAGTATATCTCTGGTTAAATTAAGTTTTTGATCAAATAAAAATAATAAAATTTATAAAGAACAAATTAGTGAAAGATTTACAATTATTTTCATAAATAAATAAATAAATTTTAAAAACACATTTATAAAAATTGATGATTTTTGTTGTCAAATTATACTTATACCATTTTACATTATGATTGTTGATAATTTATTATTTATTCACACGTTTATATTGTCAACACACAATATAGACTATATAAAGTAACAAAAGTATTTTGATTTTACCAACTTTACAAAAACCTCTTATTTAATTTTATATATTTTTTTTTTAATAAGCTATAAATGTTTTTTTAGAGAGTTTATTCTAAGAAAATAGATGATATACTACCTAAAAACTTATTAGAAAACATTCATACTGCTACACAACAAAAGGAACTGGGTGTAATTTATGATAAAAGACCATTTAAAGTTACTTTGGAGAAAGGAAAAAGTTATCATTGGTGTTCTTGTGGTATGAGTAGACAACAGGTATTGAATAATTTATATAATCAGTGGCGGATTTAGAATTTTGTTATAGGGTGGGCCCAAAGTTTTTCAAAAAATTATAAAATATCTAGGTACATTTAAAAAAAAAATAAAAAACCAATAGAATAAAATAAACTTTTTTAAGTCATAATTATAAATTATTATAAGAATATTTGACATGATTGATGTCATTACATCAGTCAGTCGGATCATTACTTATATATTCTTCTTCTCCTTCGTTTTCCTCCCAACTATTTGGGATCGGCCTCCCTGATCCTAAACCTTCACTCATCTCTATTTTCTACATCTCATATGCGCACACCAACAACCCTTTTATCATTCTCAATTGTGTACAAACATCTCTTTTTTTGGTGTTCATCTTCCTTTTTTCCATTCAACATTAAATTTCATATAAAACCATGGGCGTCCCCAGACATTTTTCTAAGGGGGAGGGGGTAAAATTAATTTAAAAAATAAATGAAATTTTTTTTTATATATTTTATTTATAGTAAATTATTATATTTCGTCATTATTAAAATTATGAATTAAAACATTGCAATTAGGTAGGTATTATTATTACAATTAAAACATTAAAAAATATTATTATACATTCTTTTTCATTAAATATAAATTTCAATCTCCGTGGACATTTTGAATTTACCAATTTCTGTGGAAATAACATTATTCTAGGGGGGGGCAAGTGCCCCGTCTTGCCCCCCCCCCTGGGGACGCCGATGTATAAAACTAATGGAGATCCCCTCTGCCTTTCCTTAAATCCGCCACTGCTAACAATATGTATTTATTTTATTGAAAACACCATAATTATTGTATTATATTTTTATTTTATAATATTTAGCCGTTTTGTGATGGTACTCATAAAAATCAAAAGCTTCGCATAACATTGAAACCAGTTAGAGTTCAAGTAGCTGAAACCAATGAATATTGGCTATGTAATTGTAAACAAACCTCTCATCGACCATTTTGTGACGGAACACATAGACAGCAACATGTACAAGATGCAATAAAGAAATATTAACTTATATTTGTATAATATTTTTTGTATATTTTATGAAGTATAGTTATTTGTTTGGGCACATATTTGTGTAATAAAAAAGTTTTTTGAAGAAATTATTTAAAAAGTTGTGCTATTCTAACACTATTTGTTTTTTTTTTTTCAAAGACATATTTTCTTAATTCTTAAGGTAACTATAAAATAATAGTGATTTAACTTTTGGCCACACAATAAGTTATAATAAAATAAAAACAAAATTATAGCAAATTATTAAACTCTAAAAAAGATGTAAAAAATAAAGTATGTTCATTTCAAATCTGTAATAATATATAGTGTTTATAGCAAGCGTTGCCATATACAAGAGAAACTAGCGTTAAATTATAATACTTAGCACACTATATATAGTTTGTTTTAAAATGGAAGAAATATTTTATTCAATGGCTTTTGATAAAAACTCAATAAAACGTTTGCCATATTGTTCTGGATCGCATGTTGATATGCCATCCACGTTTGATCCATGTTTCAATGTTTTAGCAGCTTTAGCTGCTTGTTTCTTAACACCATAATGTGTAAGTACATCAATTAATGCAATGAAATAAATTTCTCGTACTGGTGCACCTATTTTAAAAATATATATATATTAAAATAATTTGTAGAGTTTACTATATATTATTTATTAAATAATAAATTTAAAAGTTGAATAAAAGTTTATTAAAGAAGTGTTCTGAATAAGCGAGATAAGGTAGCCATGTTAAAGCACAGTCACTGATTTGCTGGTAGTAAAGACTTTAAGGCAGAACCTCATATCTTACTAATAAAAATATGTATGGAAGTTAAAAAAGGTCCTTATTGTCTGTCTTTGCCCTCCTTAAGCAGATACAACAAAAATAATTAATACAATTTTAAAATATTTGAGTCCTTCATTAGATATCCAATGTGATAATAAATTTAACTTTAATCAACAATTATTCAACCAAGATTTGTATTCAGAATTACCTTCACTGCTAGGTATAGCATAGATATCGAGATCAGGAATTATAGCTGCTGCATCATATTGACAGAGACTAGTATCACGTGCTAATAAGCTATGTGGTGAATCTGGAGGTGTATTTGCCCATGTCACTGTATTTCCAGCACCCTCACTATCTTCAGCATCTTCATCTTCTTCTTCTGCATTAACATCTCCAGTACCACTAGCAATAGCCTCTTCTCTTTCACGTTCTGCGCGAGTACAATCATGTATACCCAACAACAGGCTATAATCCATCAAATGTAAGCCTGTCAAAAACTAGAATGCAAAATTCATATGTCTTAAAAATGTGAAAGTTTAAAACATTAATATCACACTCACATCAACATCTGCTCCAAGTGTTTCTAAAAGTTTATCTTTTGCTTCATCTCCAATATATATTTTTGTACGTTCTTTGACAAAGTCATTGTCTTTAAATGTTGGTAAGTCTTTTTCCTTCTCCTTATCTGAAGCTTCTCTATCTACTGTAGAACCTTTGAGATCAAATTTTCTAAAAGAGAAAATATATTTTTGAACTTTAATATATAACTATATAACCATAGTTTGAAATAACCAAATCTAACCAGGAAATTAAAAAAAAAAAAAAACTTACAACATTATTTATAATATTATTTAGAAATTAAATTTGATAAACGCAAAACTCATAAGTCAGATATGATATGAGATGGATGAACAGTAATGTTATGTTAGTCTTTTAACTTCGAAATAAATGTGCCATTTTTCTCGAAAAAATGATTCTGAATGAAAGAGGTTAGATGGATCATTTGTGTTTCTAAAAATAGTCGCTGTAGTAGAAGAAACAAATTTCTTTATAAATTTAATTTAACTTTAAATATTCTAACTTTTGCAGAATAAATTTAAGGGAATTAAAAATAAAAGAGTCCGTAAGCAATTAACAAGGAAATGAAATAATTATAATAAATAGGTCGTTATTTAACACAATAATTTATATCGTTTAATTAAAAATTCATTGTAGTTACTGATTTTGGCAACATTTAATTTTGTTAAGTTAATAAATCATTTTTACGACTTCCAAGAATCTTATAATTAATCAGCTACTTGATTTCTAAGACTTAAATATATAATTTAACATTCAAATGGTCATTACATTTCTTTTTTAAAATCAAACTAAATAATTTATTATTAATCAGAACAGATATGTATGAGGAACTTTCTATTAAATTTTCACAATTTTTTGTAACACCAAAAAAAAAAAAAAAAATTAATTATAAAATTATTTTATCGACATTTTTAAAAAAAGCTAAAAAAAAACCATGACATTTTCAATTTTCTATAAATAGCTCAAAAAAATCTTTTAGAAATTATACTATAAAAATAGTAAACTGTAATATTTCATAATTTTTTCATTACTGCTGTTGGCAAATTCAAATGACCCCGCTTAAAGTGCCAATTAAATAACATTTTTTATCAGAAATTTCTTATGATTATGATAATTGGAGAAATCTTAAAAGTTAAATTATATTGAGTAGTATACAAAAAAAAAAAAAATCAGGTTAGAACATACATATTCATTAATATATTATTCATTTCAATCAAAAGTTCAATGAAGTATTTGGATACTTAATAGTAAATTTTAGAACTTATTTGTAAATAAGACAAATTACAATTTTCATTCATTATAAATCAAAGATAGTACTAAAACTGAGTATACATATTATGAATTTAAAAATGGGCTTGATTTTATTTAAAAAATATTTCAATTATAAATTATGAATTACATATACAAAAAAATCTATGGTATCTTTTCAAGATAAAAGCATTAATATTAATTTAGATATTTGTCGTAAAACATGATTTATAATATATGAATAGATATAATAAATAATAATCTAATTAAAAATATGTAAGTATACCTATGTGTAGCCAAATGATTACTAAATACATTTCTCATAGCCACAACATAATGTTCATCACCATCAACGGTTAAGCGATACATTCCCAAGTACTGAGGAAGGAGTGTTTTTCCATGTCTTTCAACAACATACTAAAAACACAATTGAGTTTAAAATATAATTCAAAATTAACTAATTAAAATCTTACAGGATGATAATGTTTTAAAAATGAGTGCATTCTCTCAACCTCTTCACTGGTCAATGTTTTAATGATGAATAATTTGTCATAGGAATAGTAAAAACCTGCATTACTTTTTCCTGATGCATCGGCTGAAACTGGTTGTGACCTAAAAAATTAACAAAAGTTAAAATTTAGATGATAATATAAAATAAATACATTTTGTCATTAAAGTATCAGAAACATTTATTAAACTAATAAAAATGATTAGTGTTTACATTTTAAAATGTTATACTCAAAAACTAAAACAATTAATTTTAGAAATTATTAAATATGTACTAATTAATAATACAAACATATTTAAAGAGAAATTTATCTTTTTTAATATTACATAAACTTTATTTACACAATAATTTCTTAATAATTTTTAAATATCATAAAAATGTTAGTCAACTTTGATGGAGTTTTCCTGAATTTCAATATAATACTATACTGTCAACTATAATATTTTATTGGATTTAGTTTAAATATAAAATATCATGGTAAAAAAAATTATTTTTTTAAATAAAAACCATTAAATTTAAACTGAACACTTCAATATATAATTATATAATTGTTATTTATCTTTCTTAGGGTATATTATTCTCAATTTATAAGAATAGACATTCTAATGAATTTCAGGAAGAGCTCAATTATACGCTATCCAATACACAAAGGCACACACTTGGTTAGTCCTCATTCGTGTACCTTCTTTCAATTTCAGAATAAACTTTCAATTTTTTAGACTTATAGTTAATTGTTTCCATATGTAAATTAGGAGTAGTCAAGGATCTTCGGTTGTACATCATTTTAGATTTGCTTTGACTTTTGCGACAACAGTAGCTGCTTTCCTCAGAGAACCTTATCATTTTTCCAAAATCAATTTTATTATAGAAAAAAAATATTACTGTTGAAATTTAAAAAGAAATATCAACAGAAATAAGATTAAAATAAAGTAATAAATATTTACTAATGGGATTATATTATTTTATGTTCATATGACAATTATATTCATAATTACTTTTAAAATTGTTTTATGTAACTATTATATATAAATACTCAACATATATTTATTGATATGTAAAGTAATAAACAAACTCCCTAAATAAAATAATAATGACTGCAAACAGATATTGATTTATGCCTATGATATTTTGGAAGGATAACATAATATATCAAAAACAAACTATTATTTTCTAATAAAACTGTAAGTTGTCAACATAAATACATATTTATGCTAAGTTAAATATTGTATGATTATCAACTTATTGTGAATTAATTCAAATTAAAAAAGCACTCAATGTAAATTATTATATTACCTTGTCATTGACTCTTTATAATCCAAATCATCAATGCCAAAACGTTCCCTTAAATTACGGAACACCAATGGACAATATTCTTTGATTTTAAAATGGCTAGGCATGTTTTCTCTTTAAATAAATACAAAAAAATATTCATAATTGCATACTAAAAACACAGATTTTAATTAAATACTAACTTGTTAAACAAATGGTTGTCAACTTTGACTTTTGAATATGCTCGGAAATCATCGGGAAGTAACATAACTGGTATTGTCACATGACTCAACTCATTAATCTGTAACATTTCCATTAATAATTTAAATAATTTACTTTTATGTAACAAACCATATTTAAAAAAAGAATGCACTTTTTAATGATTTTTCCTATTATTTAATAAACTATATATAGATATATATTTTTTATAGTTTTTACTTTTTATTTAAGTAATATTAATTAATACACATACACATATATTTTTTTTACAGATAAGTGATTAATATTTATTTCTTTTGTTGTCAATGATACTGTAAATAAAATTATCAGAACTCTAAGTTATTTTAAATTAGTAGTGAACAAAAGATTTTTAATCGCGGTATCAATGCCAATAATACATATAGTATGCAGAGACTAATAAGATTTTTAAATACTAACTGGTCTAGAACTATCAAACATTAGCCCAATTAGAGCTGGTTCTATACTGTCCCTCGAGGATTTGTAGCTATACTATTCATTTTCAACTTATTTACTTCTGATTAACCTACCATCTATTACGGGCAACTTAGTCAATAATAAACCAATAACAGCTCTTTATATAGATCCTATCATGATCTCTAATCTAATACATTATTCAAACTTCTTAAAAATTGAAGGATCAAAATTAACCAATCTAAATTGAAACATTACACATTGACACTGAGTCATAAAAACTGCTCCCTCCAATATTTACTTGAATTATATTATATTTCTATTTACCCAACATGTTCTTAAGAATATTAAGTTCAATCTTAACAAATTAAACACTATTATTATATTAAGGTATCATAAATTGTTTATTATGACTAATGAATAATACTTAAATACATTATTTTATTGTAACAAAAAAAAAAAAATAAAAAAAATATGAACATCCCTAAATATTTTGGTTATTATGAAATGTTATAAAGACTAGTCTATTTTATAATAATAAAATAGAAAAATCAATAATATCTACTGGCTTACTGTTGTGTAAAATGAAAAGTATAAATTCAATATTTAAATTATAAAAAAAAAAATTTCCATTTCTATTAATAGCATTGCTGTGGTTATTTTTGTATCAAAATATAGGCAGGCAATCAAGTATAAATTAGGTAAGCATCTAATATTTTAGATGGATTAATTTTCAAATTAATATAATTTATTTATTAAATTATTTAACAAAGAATTTTTATAACAATTTATAATATAGTTTCAAATGTTGACCAATCAAATACATTTTTAGCCAAATCCAAAAACAAAATTAAGTAACTAATTTATAGTTTTATTTTAATGAATGAGTATTTTTAATTTAATAAAACCCTTAGATAGTAAAATCAATCAAAAGGCACATATTTATTTTTATATTAAACCTATTATAGAATACTTACAAACAATATTATACATTTAAGAATAAATTGGTGATTTAATAACTAATTGTTCTTCTTTAATATATTACAAAAATTTTTAATTCTTATCACCTTTTATTATAATAAAAAAAACTGTAATAATTATACTATACATTTAGATTAGATTCTTACAATAATATTTAAAACTATTTATCTAATTGTTAATGAACCATCAATATAATAATATTAATCACAATACAAAATAAAGAACAATCCCATTGAAGATAAAAATTAAAAATTTATAAACATACAGTATAATTCAAAATGTAATATTTATAAAAACGTAAAATTAGATTTAATGTAAAATAAATAATAAATTATGATTTATATTGAAATTTTTTAGATTAATATATATAATAAATTTATAATAAAATATCATGGTGTCAGCACTAAAAAGAGACTAAAATGCATAATTTATCCAATTTCTTATTTTAAAACAAAACTTTTTAAAGACCTATATATAATTTATGCCTACATACATTTAAAATAAAATATATTTATAAAAAAATTCAGTTAAATTCTATAAAATTATAAAATAAAATTAAGCCTAAATATTCACCAGAGTACCAAATATCTGAATTATATTATAAACACCTAGATAAACAACATTTTATAAAATCTACTCTTTCTCAGTACTTTAGTAATAAATATAATTTAAACTACTCATTTTTAGATTATCAAAATATTCAAATAAATGTATGTATATATTCTAGTGACTTTTCATTAACACCAGATGTCAGCTTTAGAAAAATTGTATACACCAATAGTACCTATCGTAAATATTTAAAATAATGAGCAACTTAAAGCTTGAAAACTACAAGTGAGTAACACTTGACTACAACCATACAAAATAAAATTTAAGCTAAAGATGGCTTTACTTATAAAAACTGCACAAAGAAAAAAATTTGAAAAATCATGATTTTTGAATTGGTTGGATAGAACACGGAAACTTTTAATAAAAGGTCAGAAGTCTCTAAAGAACCATTAATGATAAAAGAAATTAAGTGAAAGTTTAATGGGGTACATGGTATACTAGACCTGCTTTTTAAGCAAGTTACAGTGGGTATAGTCAATTTTAAGAAAATAGACAGCATAGAATAAGATATTTTTGAGCTTATCATTAAGTCAATGTAGACACATAGTTATTGAACTCAAGATGGATAAAATAAATCAAGAATAACTAATTGAAATAGTTATATTACTGTTTGTTTTTTATTTTGATAATATTATCTGATGTAAAATAAATAATAATTATCTAATTATAGATCTCAGTGGCATATCAAACAATGATATTCAGAAGTAGTTGCTTCTGGAATTTAGGGGGTAGGTGGCAATGCATATTTTAACATACTAAGTATGTGACACTATTTATAGTTCATTACACCAATAGTTGAGCTAATGGTTATACAACTACTGTAAATAAATGAAATAAATTATTAATATTAAACTTAAAATTATATTATATTTTATATTCATAATATAAAAAATATAATTATAAATATAAATTTGTCTTGTCATACAGTTCTTATACGGATATAATATATTTAATACATGCATAATGAACAAAATAAATATTGTTTTACAAAAAATAATACAATTTCTACATTCTTATTAGTCAAACTGAAAATCCTTGATTATTTAATTTTTATAGCTTCCTCCTTTCCCTTACAAATTTTTGTTTAGTTTGCATGCACATATATCATCAAATATGATTATAATTATTAATGCAATATTAAAACAATTAAACACGTTTACATAAGTTAACTATAATAAGAAAAATTAAAATTATCAAACTAATCAAAGTCCAAATACTTTCCTAAAATAATCTTATTGCACCTATATCAAAAGGTATAGAGGTAAATAATTATGTATATTACAATAAAACAGATCAGAACACATTATAATAAACTAAAATATATACGTACAGTATGATTGACACCCCACATAAGTACAGACAGCAGTGGCTCATTAGCACGAAACAATTTAACCTTCTGTCTCTTGACACCAATATGTTTTTTCTTCAGCTTGCTGAGTCCACCTTGTACAACGCTCATAGTTATTTCGTATTATTTCGTCAAGCGTATTAAATGAAAACTCAACGTGTAATCGTCGTCTGTCAAAAACTAGTAATCGCGACAAAAAGTGGACGGACCCCAAGTTGATTATTCTAACTTGTAGACATCTCAACGTGATGACTGAATTGCGGCCGGTTTTTAAACGTCCGCATTAGTAGACTGTTAATAGAATTGCACAATTATCTGATGCAAGTAAAGTGAAAACTATTACGTTGTGCGACAATATTAATACTAATGTAAGCACAAAACTAAATTATGGCCTTTCGCGATGGACGGCCGACAGTCAATACTCATTATTTTATCAATTAATTATCATAATGAAACCGTGGATCAATAAAAATCAAATGCCCTTTCCTTCATGAAAATGGTGATAACACTTATCTCAGTCAGCATCCGCAAACTTAACGACTAACCACCTATCGACGAATATATAATACATAGGTATATTTAACAAGAAGTACATTGTTTATAACATTTGAATAACACTTTTAGCTTTATACTCAACGATTAGATCAGGGCTTGAGTATTCATGTAGGTACCTTAATTCTCGCCAAATGTGCTATTGAAATAACTGTTAAGTTACATTTGCCCTAATAGTTTCCTAATAATTTTACAAGAATATGGCAACATTAAGAGCACAGAATATGAAACTCAAAGGAACCCAAAAAAAAAATTTAAAACCAAGATGTTTCATTACAGATCCTTATGAAAAATTTTGGTAACATGCTTATATTTAATTTTTATAAGAACATTTAACTGAAACTATTTTCTCATTCCATAGGCCTCTTTTAGACCCTGATAAAACTAAAGTATTAGTAAATGAGATGGAAAAGTAAGTATAAGTTATTATTATTATCTCGTGTTAGGCGGCAGTACAGTTATAACATATAATATAATAAAAAAACACAAGTAAATAAATATATGTACAAGTATAAGTGATAAGTCTGGTTCTGATAAATACTAACAATTGAAAACTTAAATAATGCCAACAGGTTGAAGACAAAATAAATATATAATATAATTTACATCATTAATTATAACCAGTGGCATGCGCAGGAATTTGGTATAGGGGGATGTCATAAATAAAAATGTATTATTTTCAATTTTTATTCTATATTATTATACAAAAAAAAATACAAATTTTGTATTTTGTATTTTGTAATTTTATATTGCGGAAATTCATCCTTCTGGCTTTTACACTAAATTTATCAATTATTTTTTCTGAAGAGAATGGAATGTCTCGATGTGTGTTCATTAACATCAATCCATTTAATCGTGACTGCTCCATCGTATTTCTTAAATATGTTTTTAAAATTTTAAGACAAAAAAAAAAGCCTGTGAGGAGGATATATCCCCCAACATCCCCCCTACAAACGCTACTGATTATAACTATCTTTTATTCCTAAATACTTAAGAATGAGCAAAATTTTATTTTTAGAACTAAGTTAACAATTGACATTTTGAAATGTTCAATGAATACATTAGTTTTATTTTTATTCAACCCTTAAGTTAATTTACAACACTCAATTTTTTATTCTTGTCCATTTATCTCTTTTTTTACTCTTTGCTATCACACTATATTTTCCCCTAATTCTTATTCTAATTTGAAATATATTTATATCATTTTCTTAAGTAAAAGTGTTTCATTATATTTAATATGATTGAATTATTGTCCTGCCTATTCAATATTATACTTGGCTGTACCATTGGTTATACCTGATTATTTGATCATGATTGATTTGTTTAAAAATAACTGTTAAAGATATGAAAAAAATTATATATTTTAGAACTATATCTAAAGAAAACGGTAAATTAAAAATAAATTGGTATGATTTAAAGAAATTACCATTGGATGTACGGAAATGTCAAATTAAAGATCTTTCTAATAAACATAAGCTTATAAGCCCTAATTTAAAAGTACAAAGGTAATTTCAAGATTTCAGGTGTTAAATTATTAATAAATATTAAATTTTGTGTATTAATATTATATTACTTTCAGATCAATTTTAAAAATGGGTATAAATGAAGTTAGTCGATGTATTGAAAAAAACCAATTGGCTTGTTGTTTGATAGCTGAAGATGTAGCAAACTCTGTAATTGCTAAACATTTACTTTTAATGACTGCTGCAAAGAAAATACCTGTTTTAATTATTTCTGATTTGCATTCAATTACAAAACGTATTATAGGTTTTTCTTCAGTAACAATAGGACTAAAGGTTTGTATTATTTCCAAGAGTAATAATTCATAAATTGTCATAATTTATTCTTATCATTTTTTAGACTGATATATTAAATAAAAAAGAAAGCTCCTTGCATAATCTTTATCATACAATCGTACAGTTTTCGAGTAAATTTAAAAATCCATACTTTAAACAAATTACCAAAAGAGAATCAATATCAGAAGAAAATCCCATAAAATTAAATGTTAACATTGAAAATTATTTATTAAAGAAACCAAGAGAAGGTAGAGCTTTTGTACCAGAAGGTACATCAAATGTTCGGACATTAGATGATTTATCATTTATACCTATTGATAAAATAATTGTTAAAGAACGAAAACCATATGAAAAAGATGAAGAACTTATTGAAGTAACAAAAACTACTAATTTATTTAGTATAGACACCAAACCTTTACCTATTGAAGATATTGGAGAATCTGTAGAACGTAAAACTAAAACTTATAGAGAACCTTTAAGGTATTATGGATTAAAAATGAAAAAAATGAAGCCCAACCCCAACAGAAGACAACAAAAAGAAGAAAATACAAATAAAATAAATAAATAAGAAGTTTATTAAATTATAGTCAGTGGAAATAAATAATTTTATAAATAAAAAAAAAATGTAAGTACATTGGATAATTATTTATTAGGTAAGATTAAATTCACAAAATGAAATCACTGGTTCACATTTTTTGAAACATAAATACCATGTACAAAGCTGAAAAAGAAAATTAGATATAGAACAACTTATATATTTTTATTTCAAATTAGTCTTACTTGCTACTTCCCATTCAGATTTAGATAATGTTCCAATATTAGGAATTTTATTTTCATTTAAAAATTGTTTGGCTTTCTCATATTCATCTTCTGTTCCCATTTTTTTATTTCCTTCTTGTGGTGGATACAACTATGTAAAGATTTAAAATTATAAAACAAATAAAATTTAAATTAAATACTTGTTACATTCGTTAATAAGTTACTAATTTTAAGGGGGCTTCTTTAGATATGGTTAAATTTAAAGTTTTAAAAACTTAACTATTTTAGATAATCCTTAAGACAAGAAAACTTAATTTTGCCAATTAATAGTTTTTGACATATATTCAACATAAAAAAGTTTTTATTAAATTTAAAATAAAAGTTTATGCTTTTTATTTCTAGTAATAATTTGAAATTTAAACACTATAGCCGCTATTTTAAACAAAATTTACTGAAAATTTAATAACAACTAATTTGATGGAAGAATAGTCAATCTCATAAAATATTAGGATACAAGATTCTATAGTATACAATACTGTTGAATACTTGATTCTTACAATTATAAGGATGATAATGATATATTATATAAACTAGTTTCAATTTTGGTTAGATTAATATGTTTCAACAAAGAAAATTAAATATAAAATTAATCAAAACATTTATTAAGTTCAATTAATTTAAAATGTATGTATATAGAAAGAGTTATACGTGTAATAAATAAAACCTTTGTTTATTTTAGAAAAATTATATTAAAAAAATTTATCATTTTAACACAATTCTTTTAAAAATATAAAATCTGTAGCTAAGGATAATAAGTATTTGGAAGTTTAATACAAAAAACTCTGCACCTGAACTAAATTTTAAAACTAAAACATAACAATAAACCAAAATATTAAACTTCTTCATTTGAATACATTTTATTATATTTATAATAAAATATAGTCAGTTACCTCTAATGCAGAAATACGGTTTAAGAAATTTAAATCTAGCTTTGAATGTTTTTCAAAAAAATCACCAAATGTCATTTTCATTTTGAGTTCCAGCCCATAACTTTTAGCTAACCTGAATATAAAATAATAATAAAATATGTTTCTTATACAATTTATTTAAATTTTACCAACTTTTCAAAAGCTGGAAAGTATACTAGGAACTCTGGACAATTAACAACTCCTTCTAGATGAAAAATATATTTTGCACCAAATATTGGTAGTAGTTTTTCGGGGTCGCACATAAATTCAATATTATAAATGCTGTTACCAAACTTTTTTTTACCACATTCTCTTTGACGTCGCCTAATTGATAAATTACGAAAATTAATATCATTAATTCCATTCTATTAAGATTAAAATTTACAAATTTTTATTTACATTTATTCACATTTTACTTACACTATTTCTGAAGCGTTAGGTATGGTGCCAATAAAAATTCCACCACTAATAAGATTTGATGAGATATTTTTCAACATGCATTCAGCTTGTTGTATACTTTCAAAACAGTAATGAAATGCAAATTGACAATTTACTAAGTGGAACTTCATACTTGGATTTTCATAAAATTTATTAATAATCACCTAAATATCATTTACTCATACATTTCATGGGTTTTTTTTTAATTAATTTGGTAATTTTGAGTAGGAAAATATTAAAATTATTGAAAAAACTATGTTAATTACTCTAGTGCAGTCTGCTACAATGAATTTAGCATCAAATATATATTTATTTCTTCTTTTCAAATCTGCATATCTTGATTCATAATTTATTATCGAACCTGGAGATATGTCAACAGCTACAAGATGTTCCAAACAGCTATTATTTTTCCATTTATATAAATCGCCTCCTTTACCACAAGCAATATCTAATACATGCATTTTTCCATCATCAATTCTAGTATCTCTTAGTTTAAGAACAGCTTCCTCTACATATAAAAATAAATTAATATCCTGATAATTATTTAAAAAAAAATTACTTCACTAACGAATAAGAACCGATTTCACCCAATTGTTAAAATTACGTAAGAACAAGATACGTGATTCATTGCGTGTAGCAAAATTATTATCAATAGAATCGTAATGACGGGCAATGACGGCAGACAAGTCTTCTTTATTTTTGGTGTCAACATCAGCCATAGTCTAAGGGGTATAAAAATAATAATAATACCATGAATTGTTTCGTGATAGTATTTAAAATAATGTTCACATGCAGCATTTCTAAGACAGGTATATATAGTTATTCAAATAGTCGGACAGTAAAAAGTCAAACCGTTGAATTTGGTTGTATTCGTATACATATTTTACATGACAACGACCTCAATTTCTTCCACATAAAGAATTCAAATTTAAAATCAAAATAATAATAATAATTACATGTAATTGGAAACGTTTACAAATCAAAACAAATAATAGTAAACGATGAAGACCCCGCGCCGTGTGCAGCTGGCCTGGCTGCTAGCATATACCTAAAATGCACGGATTATCATAAAATATTAAACGAATAATGATGATAATTGATAATTACCACGGAACTAAGATAGAAGCTACTGTTATTCAATGATAGTATAGACACTATAATTTGTGGTCGAACAATATCACAGAACGAAAATTAAAACATTAAAAAATTAATTGATAAGTATGAAACACATACTTTTGTATATCTTTATCACGAACTGATATATGTGTGTGTGTATATATACATAGATATAATTTAATATATCTTAAGCTGCGTTTACACTGGTCGATCGCGGGCGAACGTCTATAGACGCACGATAACGCGTCGAACCCGTTCGAAAGTGTTTTGTGTTTACACGTTCAGCTATTTTTAGTCAAAAGTATTAACCATTGTGATATAGTACGTGAAGTGTTGTTAACAGTGCTCGACTTGGAAAAATTTATGACGGGGAACTCGGGTTCCTTAAAAAAATATTGCGTCCCCAAAACTTGTTAAGCGTTTTAATTACAACGTAATAATAGTTGGGAGACGCTAAAATTTCTAAAAATTAGAAGGGGTACTCCGTCACCTCCAAGTCGAGCACTGGTTGTTAATATTAAAAAATAAAAAACAAAAAGCGTCGTTTATGGACTTGCCAATGTATTTTACAAAGGAACATTTTAAATACATCATCAAATGTCTAAATAGAGATTTCTGTAAAAGTTCCAAAATCGTTCTTTAGTCATTTAAGAATGGACTATGATAAATTTTTATATCTTCTAGAAAAAGTTTCTCTTGGAACATACCAACATGCGAGAAGCACTGCCAGCAAGAATGAAACTAGAATTAAATATAACTTGATAGCTGAGTTATTTACATGATCGATTTTAATCATGCGACAACGACCGGATCGTTCAAATGATTTTCAACTTTAATCGAATCGAAACATTTAGTCGTGCGGCTAAGTCGAAAATGAGTTTATACATTAAATTTTCTTTCGATTTTGTCGAACAGCGGCAGTCTTTCGACCGCAGTCGACCTGTGTAAACGCAGCTTTAGTCCGTGACTTAAAATCTATGTAAAGACCAGTAAACCGGAGACCTGTTGGCAGTACTGTATGGAAAGCATGGTTTAAGATAACTGTATCTTGTAAGACCGTTTCTTAAACCACGAAAGTCTTTAAACTTATTTTTACTATATTATTAGTGCACTTATGTATTTATGATTAAATAATAAAGGTTTTTTTAAAAAGATAGCACCTACTATGTGAAGGACACCAATTAGTTGTGACTATCGATAGTCCATCGATAGTTTAATAAAACACCAAATGTTTATTCAAACGGACGATAGTATTAATTATTCAATATTTTTCAAAATATCTATTGAACTATTGAACCTGGTTTGCACTACCGACTAGTTTTGGCTATCGATAGTTTTAGAAAACAATCTAATGTTATTTTATACTTTTATTATAGAAAACTATCGAGTATTATTTTATACATGAATGCAGGGGCATGTCTAGTGGATGGGCCTGGTGGGCCCGAGCCCACCCTGATTTTTAGCCTTTAAATAAACCCAAATAATTTATTTTTCGTATTAAAAAACACACTGAACACTGAATGTAAAGCATGAATACATCGGCGTACTGCGTAGGAACATGTATACGTTAGTATATATATATGTCCGTTATAGATTATATTTTGAGCCGTGAATAATTGTATTTATTTATAATTAAAATTAATAAACGTAAAATTAATCGGCGATCCTTAAGCGCTTCTAGGGAAAATATTCATCCACGAATAGTCAACAACCATATTGATATATTATATGATAAAAATTAAAAATAAATTTATTATATAAGTATACGACCGATATTATACGATTATGACTGTCATCGCTCTGTCGGTGATCACCGTTGCTGAGCGTGGATAATTCAGTAACGTTGCTTTTTAATAATATATATTTTGTTTAATACTGAATAGTGGCGAATACCGATGCGACCAATGATTACTGACGAGTTTGCCAAAATGAAAAACAGGATAATTCAATTTACTAAATATTATAAAAAGTTATTTTATAAGTATATATTATACATATGACTACAAAGTAGTAAGTACAACTTAAAAAATAAATTAAAGTTTCTCTTAAAAAAAATTATGTATCTTATACAAATTATTCTCATAACCGAGCCCGTTCTGAAATTTTACCCTGGACACGCCCCTGCATGAATGGATATCCTATAATTTTAGTTTAGTTTTTTTATTCATCCATAAACGTGTTGCGTAGCACGTAGTCGACTGAACGTAATTTCGGCTAACATAGGCTGTATTCTGATAAGTGATAATACTAGTGGAGCTCAACGTCTTAATAAGCGAATATCAAAAATGTTTTTGTTATTATAAATCGTAATAATTGTTATAAAATAAACGTAAATTGAAATCCACATTTAAATTATTTTAAATTAATAAATTAAATTAAAATTATTAATTAAAAATTATTTTAAATATTAACTAGGGTGGGCTAAGGCTAAGGTCCCCCCGTTTCAGTGAAAAACTATAGATGAGGTACGCAAAAAAAAAAAATAAATAAAGGAGCTCCACCCCCTAATTCGAGCACTGTTTATATGTTTAAAACTGAAAGACTATTAATTATTTTTGAAGACATGATCTTAAATGATTTTTTATTCGACCAAATGTAGATAAAGATCTTTTAGCCGAACGGTCAAATAATACAGGAATATTCTTAAAGCCACTTCAACATATGGAAAAATGCATATAGATTTCAAGAGTGAACTACAGATCTAAAATTTTGAAGTATAAGATTTATACGGTATTAGATACTGTTATTTTATCTATTTTGTGCTGTTATCGTGTTCACGTTGGCAATGCTGTATGGAAAACCATTGAACAATACTACCTTTGCCAAACAATCAAATAGTTATATCATGCACGAACCGTGAGTTTTATCACGTTCATGCGCGACCCGCGACGGTTCCCTCCTCTTAAAAATCGTTTCGTTCGTGAACGCAAAGAAATTGAATACGTAGCAGAGACTGTTTACAGTTAGTGTTTATTGGTTACGCATGTTTTAAACTCCACCATCGACGGTCATATTGTTGTCTTATAATTGTGAAAATAGACGAAATCGATGGGAACTCAATCATCTGTGGTCATTTAAACTTCATTGTATAGTAAAGACGTAAGTCATCATTGTCGTCTCATATATATTTAAAGGTTTTGTTCTGGCACGTTTGCGTCTGAAATAGGGTGGATTTATCCAGAATGCAGACTACTAGAGGAGAGGTTACTATATAGTACAGACGGTTTGTTACTCACCTACAATATTCATTGCATTCTTCTCATTAATTGTATGCCCATCGAGTTCTCTTAATAATGGTTGTGTAAACTTGAAGTATCTAGGTAATAAATCTGTTGACTATCAGTGAGGCGTCAACTGTTGATGGTCAGTATGAATGTTAGCTACACCTAACTTGTAACTATTCATGTAGATAGTCTAACTATCTGGAATAATTAAATATATTTCCCTTAGTAATTTTTCTAAATACAAAATGAATACTTATTTGTAAAAGGGTCTTAATATAAAACTGCCTGCTACCTTCTTTAGGTTTGATCCGGTATTGGAAAACCCTTTGTACAAAAGGAATTATTTAAATAACTAGTAACTTAGTTAACTAATATATTTTTATTTATCAAAGCAACTACAATATAAAAAGCCTTTTATAAATATTTATATTATAATATAAAAATAATATATTTTCTAATTAATAATGTTCTAAAGAGTAATCTTTTTTCTATTCATGTGTTTTTAGGCAGTCTATCATGAATTTTATTTTTGATAGTATTAAAAAGAGAGTTTCCAAAAAATATATTTGGCAAAGTGAGCATATTGGTATGATATGATCATTCAATGAGCTACATTTAACAAAAGTATGTTTGTATTAATAAACTATGATATTGAAAATATTTCACTATTCAAAAATGAATATCAATACTGTTGAAATCCCCTATTAAATATTTAAATATTGTATATTTTTGTTGCATTATTAACATCTTAAATTTATAAAATGTGGTAAAATTAAGTGTAAATTATTATAATTTTTACAATATTATTAGTATACTTGTATATTTATAGTAATTTTTATTTATTTTTTAGAAATATTTATCAAGAATTAAATTATGGCTGTAGTGTTGGAAACAACAATTGGGGATTTAACAATTGATTTATTTACAGAAGAAAGACCCCATTGTAAGTATTCATAATAATTTTTATATGTGCATTTATATTTTATAATTTTTATTTATATTTAAATATATAAAAAATCAAAAAATAATATTATATATACTGATATATATATATGCCTAGAACCATTTCCTAAATCCTTCAATTGATTTAATTTTGCTGTGTATACTTACTTATATGTTAATTTATACTTTTATTCAATCAAAATAGTATTTCTCACTTTTATTATATTTTCTTTTTTACAAATAAATTTATAATTATCTTTGAATTAATTATCATTTTGTATTAGATGAATTTTCCAAAATCCAAAATAAAATATTTGTCCTTAGTATTTTCATGTAGTGTGAAATAATATATTGTATTGTGTTGACTGTTTTTAGAAAGTAGAATTAAATAAATACATTTCTTAAAAAGTTTTTTTGTATAATTTTGTATCATGATTGACGATATATTTATTTTAACTATTTTACAGCCTGCAAGAATTTTTTGAAGTTATGCAAATTAAAATATTACAATTTCAGTCTTTTTCATCATATTCAAGCAAACTTTGTAGCTCAAACAGGTGATCCTACAGGTACTGGATCTGGAGGGGAATCAGTTTATGGGTAAAATATATTAAAAATAATTTTATTTTATAAATAAATTATTAGTTAATATTTATCTTAAATTTGTTATAGAATTTTATCTGGTAAAGATGCTAGGTACTATGAAGGAGAGAAAAAACCTAAAATCAAACATGATCGACCTGGACTTGTTTCAATGGTTCACTGTGGCAATAATTTGTATGTTCATGTTTTTCTAACCAATATTTTGATTGTAATAATTTTTATTATTTTACAGAGTAGGGTCACAATTTTTCATAACTTTAGGTGAAGATACAACTTGCTCGTTGGATGAACATATTGTTTTTGGTGAAATAGCTGAAGGTCATGATGTATTATTAAAACTAAATGAGACAATATGTGATGTTACACATCGACCTTATCAAGATATAAGGTTTGTGTTTTTTTATAAACTATGTAAAATTGTGATAATAAGACTGTGTTTTAAATTTGAGTTATTATGGTTTGATAATATGTATTACATATAAATTTATGTAATAATTATGATTTATTCAACAGATCTATAAAAAAAAAAAAAAATAATCATTTTAACAATCTGGTAAGATAAATTGAATAACAAAAACAAGAATTTAATTTACTTTTATCTTTAAAGTACTCACTTAAATTTTATTTCTACAAACAGCATAAAATATAAAAATATTATAACAAGAGAATCACAAATTGAAAATTGATATACTTATTCAAAATAATAAATCTGAACAGACTAAAACAGATATTCGAAAATAATTAAACTTGCATGATTGTTTCAAATCTCAATTACTAAAATCAATAATGTGAAAGCTCTAATGTAAAACTTTTAATCTATATTAATTTTTCACATAAATTTAATATTGAGATTCTTACTGCAATGTTTCTCCTGTGTATAGTAGCTTCATGAGTGTTGGTTATTTTTTTTTCTTTTATGACATAATAATGAGGTTACATTGAACTTCCATTATCTAGAGCAGCGGTTTCTTAGCTTTTACAACCATGGAACTTTTAGGAATTAGTTTGTGTTTCATCGATCCCCAATGTCTTGTAACTCCAACTTAACCCTAATTTTTCTATTATTTATTGAAAAAACAACATTTATTAAATTAATTAAAACCCTCATACTTACCTTCATCCAAATTATTTTTGGGTATAACTTTATTTTATTATTTATATTTATTTGCATAGTCAGCTAGTAATAGTAATATGGCATAAAAGATAATAAATTAATATAAAATTCTTTGTTTCACATATTTTGTTTTTATAAATATAATAATATAATATAACTTAAATATGTTTTTAGAATAACTCATACTGTAATTTTGGATGATCCATATTCTGATCCTGATGGTTTAATTGTACCAGACCGATCTCCTGAGCCACCTTTAGAAGTACTTCAGGTAGTTAATTAATTAAATAATAGTTTATAAAGTATAATTAATTTAAACCGAGTATCTATAAATATACTTTTTTTATAGAGTGATAGAATTGGTGCAGATGAAGATATTACAGAGGACATAGATGCTTCAGAATTAGAAGAAAAAAGACAAGAGAAGGAAGCTCAAGCTCGTGCTACCATTCTTGAAATAGTTGGAGATTTACCTTCAGCAGATATAGCTCCTCCAGAAAATGTTTTATTTGTGTGTAAACTAAATCCAGTTACCAATGATGATGACTTACAAATCATATTTAGTAGATTTGGTAAAATTGTTAGGTAAATATTTTTATAGTCAAATAGATTTTTTGTTTTCAACTATTAATAATTAAAGTATTCATTTATTTTATAGCTGTGAAGTCATCAGAGATAAAAAGTCTGGTAACTCTTTACAATATGCTTTTGTTGAGTTTGATAATCAAAAATCATGCGAAGAAGCATACTTGAAAATGGACAATGTTTTGATTGATGATCGAAGAATTCGTGTAGATTTCAGCCAAAGTGTGTCAAAAATTAAATGGTTAGGTAAAGGACGAGGAGTGAAATATACAGATAAAGATGATGAAGGAAAAAACATCAGCGATAAATATTCCAAGTACAGAAATAAGAAAAGAGATATTGATGATTCTAAAAATAATCACCACAGAGAAAAAATATATAATGATACTGATAATTATAGAAAAGATGACAGAAATTATAGGAATCGAGAAAGTGAAAAAGAAGAAATTGACAGAAGAACTGACAAAGATGACAAATATAAAAAATATGATAGAGATGATAAAGATAAAAGACGTGAAAAGGATGAAAGAATGAGGAAAACTTACAGAGATGAAAGAGAAAGAAAAAATTATAGAAATGATAGAGATAAAAGAAGTGAGAAAGATGATAAAAATAAAAGAAATGATAGAAATAGCAGAGATAATAGAAATGAAAAAGAAAGAAGAAGCATTAAAAGTGAAAGGGAAAGAAGGAATGAAGGTAGTGATAAAAATGAAAAAGAATATAAAAAAGATAATGTAAGTAAAAAAAGGGAAGCTGAGCAAAATGGTGATAAAAATTCAAAAAAATATAATTCAAACTATCATGATTATGAACTGTCAAAACAAAAACAGAAAAATGATTATACTGAATCTACCAAAAAGTCAAGTAGAGAAAAGTATAATAATAATGATGATGAAGTCATCATGAAAAATTCAACAAAAAAAGATGAAAAGAAATCTAAAAATAACTTAAAAAAGAAGAAACGTGAACGTAGTTCAAGTAATTCTTCATCTTCATCATCTTCTAGTTCAGATTCATCTAGTTCATCAACTTCTACTAGTTCAAGTTCTAGTTCGACTTCTAGTTCTAGTCATGGTGCCAAAATAGTTAAATACTATGACAAAAAAGGGAAGCTAGTGAAGGTAGTAAAAAATCAAGATTCAAGTTCCAATTCAGATCGTAGACATAAAAAACGGCATAGAAAACGAATTGTTAAAGTATATAAAAGTGTAAAAAGGAAGAGAAGAAGTGCTTCTGATTCTACTAATACTTCATCTAGTGAAAGCGAAGAAGATAGAAAAAAAAGAAAAAGAAAACAATCTTTTAAAAAAGGCAAAAAAATAAAAGAAGGAAATGATTAAAATATCAATACATTTCTGAATTTAAATTTATTTTAGTAATATAAAAATCTTAAAACTATTTTTTTAATATATTTAGATTCTTAAATTTTTACAAATGCATATTTGAATAGCATGTGATTTTCAAGATCAGTATAATAATAAATTTATACTTGTATATTTGTAAATTATGATTAATTAATTTTTATATTTCCTAATGATTTTAATTATATTTAGTAATAAATTGTTTATTTAACATACACTAGATAAAATTAATTCAAAACTCAGGAGACATTTATTATCTAGGGTTTATTTTTAATTTCATTTTTACCTAAATTATACAATTTCTTTAATAGAGCATAATTTTATAATTAAAAAAAAAAAAAAAATTAGCTTATGTTATAGATAAGAGACAATAAACATAGGAGGCTATGAACAACATAGATTTAAATTTGGGAAAAAAATATTTTTCTTTTATTTTTTACTGGTGTACATTTACATATTATGTCAATATATAGGTAGCTAGTTTTGACAAATTATAGAATCTATTTTTTCTTGTTGAGACTGTAGTAAAATGTTACAAACTTTTACTATTTATCACTGGACAAACAGGCCCGAGTGATACTCCCTTAATTCTTCAAATATTTCCTAGAAAATACAAATACATATGAATTATTACAGTCTAAAAATTTTTAATTTCTTAGTATATCAAGGTCAATTAAGTTTAATTAATCATTCATAAATTAATAATGGTTATATAGGATTTTCATGACATTTATGTAAGGATAAAATGTGATGGCATGAATATTAAATTATACCAATCAGTGGTGTATACATAACTTTTGTACTTGGGAGGGGAGATCATTTGCAAACATATCTTTATTTTTTTTCTAACGCCCTCACACTAAGAAAATTATTTTATAACATTTGAAGAAAGACCTAGGAGGGATCTAACCTCCACATCCTCCCTTGTGTACACTAACGATACCTATTCATAACACACAACATAATACATTTAATGTGTTAGATCAACAACGAAAAAATAGTAAGTATTCATATCTATGGTGACTAGTACCAAAGAATGGTAATTTTCCAGAGCACATGAAAAATATTACTGAAAGTGGATGGATGAAGTAGAAACGTGTCATTAAGGGTATTATGTATTAAAAGGATGTTGATAAAATTTTAATATAGATTTACAATAAACAGATAATGGATTGAAATGGTTTAGGCGTGTTACGAAGAGAAATTAAGTTGAGGCATCATAATCATTAATGTTGAAGGAAAACGGAGAAAATCAAGTTGGATGTAATGACAAGGAAATGGTCGATTTTATACAGCTATGAGATAGATGAAAAGGACAGACGACCATAAAATCTGTTGTAGAATATAAATATTAAATAATTTGTGATTATCATTATAATTAATGAAAACCCATATCGATAGTTGTATGATCATAATATATAAGGAATCGAGGACGAATATCATTTATGATTTCATTTTGGGGCTTACTGCTTGGGTGACGATATTTTTTTTTTTTTTTAAATATAGGATGCACCATTTTAATCACTTTTAAACAATGTTATAATATAATAAACTCACGAAAGTGGTCAAAACAATGACCCAAAAATACCATTGTAAAATATAGGGTTTATTAAATAACAAGTTATACATTAACATTAGGAAGAAAAAACGAGAAAAAATGCGTTCCATATTAGTTTATTACTGGATGATTGTATATAATACGGGACCTATAGCCACTCTATTACTGTATGAATAAAAATTAAAAATAACAATTAAGTTCCAGTAGCGTACACATTACAATGATTGCTCGCGTGTAACACTAAATCGTGCGCCATCATGGAGGAAACTGTTTGGGATTTTTGTTCCGCCATGATTAGTGCCCCAGGAGCCAAGGACACCGGGTAAACGTTATAGTTGTGCACTCGTTCGTCGTTCGTCAATCAGTTACGCGGTCCGTTGTCGAACGCTTCTCTTCTCTAGCGCTCTTCGTTGCGTCTGCGTTGATAAAGGAAAATAAAACCGACCCATGTAAATGTAGTTTGCCCTGCTGCAGTCGCCGTTCATTTCGTTTGCAGACGATCATTCCTACTCAGTGACCGAAATCCGATCGCATTCGTCTCGCCCATCGACGCCGCCGACGTTTAAGTTAACATAAATTACCACGCGCGACGCCATGGCCGACGATGACACGGCGCACACTAACGGTAACGGGCACGAAGAAAACGGACTTGTGCCGGAAATCGAACTTATCATCAAGGTGAGGACCGTACAGTCTTTGGACTTTAGCGGATATCATATATTTACCTATTCAGAATGCCCGGTAATAGCGTGTTGATATCTCTATCGGTAACGTCCTGTCTAACGGCAGCATCCCTTTTCGAGTTTATCATCAATTTTTTTTTACGCGGAAAATACCTTATGTAAAATCGCTCATTTGAAATTGTTGTTTTTTATATTATGTAATATTCATGTACGTGTTTTATAGTAAGTGTGCATTCGTCGCTGTTTATTACTTTTTTTTATCCTTAAGAAAAACAAATATATAAAAAACTTGAATTGAACTGTACACATACTATATTACACAAGCTGTAGAAAAAATATACTTTGCTTTTGTAACATTATCATAAATAAAATACGGAATTCAACTGGGTTAGTTATTACACTTTTGATAAAATAAATAAATTAGATAAGTGTTTTTTATTGAAGTGTCTAATTAATCAACATTTTCTTGGTACCATATTACCGAAAAGGTATGGAATACTTGACGAATTATGACTATCGCAAGATTTTTATAGATAAAAACGAAAAAGAACAGTGGAAATATTGAAAATTTCATAGTTTCAAATGTTACTCAATCGAAGGAATTCTTATTTTAAGAAATTTTAATTTTAAGAAGTCGGTGAACACTGCTGTGTTTGATAATTAGGCAATTGCCAATTAGTATATATAGTTGAATAGTTAATTTACATAATTACCCATAAATATAACATATACCTGGTTGAAATTTGAAATGAACATTGTGTATTTTACATAAATTAATCGGAGTTTTAGTTTTTTGTGATGTTCACTTTCATTAAGAAAATGTGTGGACTTCTAATTACATGTTTTTGGACAAAATCGTAAAATAGATTATGTTTTGTGCAAGAAACAGCTCGAATATCAAAAATTTGAAAAAATGTTCCATAAACTATGATTATTTAAATTATCAGATCGTTCATTCCGATTGACAAGTGTACTTCAAAGAACATTAATTATTACAGTTAAACATTTTAACCACCCTTATAATTTATATTATACTACCTCAGTAGCTATACTATCTAGGTTTTTATCAAACTCAACAATTTCGTTACACTCTCCATAATTATTTGGGTTTTTCCTCACTTCCGAACATTATAGTTATTGTGAAATAATGTAAAGTGTAAGGGTTTTTAATTCGAATATTCAGACACAAATATTTATATGACGAAGTAACTATAATTGACTACATTTTTAATTTTGCTTAATGGTATTATTGCCTGCAGGTATTGTAATACAAAATTAGATCATGTGTCATTATAGAAATATTCAAATTATGAAATATAATAAATCCCTTGGTAGGAGATAGTAACTAATAAGTAGGGAATATCCAAGATGATTGAGATTAATTATACTGGTGTAGTATTTTACAGTTCTACAGTATCTTGTATACTTATCAATATTTGACTCGGTATAATATTATCTTCGTTATTATACATAGTATATTATGCTTTATTTGATGGATAAACAAGTAATTTAACTTAAGGTTCAGTGTCTGTGTTCGATACCTAAATAATAATCGATATTCATCGCAATAGTGTTCAGATAGACATTATACCGTTGTGCATTACTCCCTTGTATTGTTTATCTTATTGTTTCTAAACGTTTTTTAACGAGTCTTGCGTTTGAGAATTGATTCAATGTGACGGCGGTGGGAGGTCTTAGTGCTCGCCTTAATTGTTCTAGCGAGCCGTTGCGATGAGTTTTCGTCGCGTTAGAAGCGATCGCGGTAACAACAATAGTGGGTATCGTGTGCGTTTATGATTATTATAATGGCGTCGAAGTATGGAAGAGCGACAGAATTCTTACACGGCGGAGAAGACACGAAATGCTATTTATATCATGCGGAAGAGATTAAGGGGAGGGGAAGTCGTTGGCTGCAAAGTGTACATTTATTGTATTTATACATTATTTTGTCGCAGTTCAGGCGCAGCAGTTGAACACGATCTGTTTGGCGGGGCAGGTAATAAAGGGAATACGAACCGGCTGCGGGCGCGTGTGTTACACTCGTGCAGTGCTGCGGGTCTGTATGCAGATGTCTCGCCCCCGCCCGTCAACCATCTGCACAAATAACTCGTACGCAATCGCACGTGCACCGAAAACGTGTACGTCTCTGTAGACATAAAAAATTATGTGTATGCGTGTGTGTGTGTGTGCGGGCGTGCGCGTATGTGTGTGTGTCTGTTATACGCGCGCGCACGTTGTTTATTTTCAGCTGCCCCGTCGCGCATTTACCTCCCAAGTCCCTTTCGCTCGCAGTTCTGTGTTTACTCACGGCTGTCGTACTGCTGTTATAACACTACTATCGTGTTTTTTTTTTCAGGGACTCCGTCTCTCCTATCATTGTTTCTAAACGTTACACGTACTTTATGTTATTTTTCTTCTTTTTTTTTTTTTTTGAAAATACCACACAGGTGGCCGCCGGTGGGTGTTACAAATTAATGTTCAAAAAGTTCGACTTCGGTATTTTCATCTGTATCGATGTGTGGTAATAATTGTAGAAATAACGCGTTAGAAAATTACCGAAAAACTTAAGTGAAGTATGGGGCGAAATCGAGAAGTGGGAAATTTTTTTGTCAAAACATATATCTTCGAAAAAAAATAACTACCCGTAAACACGAATTTATTGATTTGGAATTTTTTTGATACGGAATACGGGTACTTAACTTGAATATTATGACTAAAGTCTAATTTTTAAATTTGAAATCAAGTGAGATCTGATCCTAAAACATTTGAACATTTCATAAAATGTGTATTTTAACCCTCCCGTTATTCCAAGAAAACTTAATTTCCATTATATGTAATCGGACGAAAATATGTAGCTATTACACCTTATGGCTTATTTAATTAGATTTCAGAACATCATCATGCTATTTGTCTATGGTTAAAATGTCTAGGAAAATATAACACGGATAATTTACATGTACTTGTCTTTACATTTAATCACAAATAAAAGTATTAAAAAGTTCTAAAGCTATAACAATTCTGTGAATTTGCAATGTTATACGCGTATAAGATAAATGTGAATGTTACGTGCTTTTTGCTGGCTCGGTATATGCTATGTTAACTAACATTCCTGCGATGTACCATCATATCATTGTCTTATAAATATTTTTACCAAGAAAATTGTTGATATGCTATCTAAGTTAGTCATATTCATGAGTAATGAAATTTTTTTCAGTGCTTAACTTTTATTGACATAATTTTTTCATAACTCATTAAATTTAATGAATGTATTTTTATCTGACTTATGAATCTCAATATGAGTTTTTCACGTATTGTACTTAAAAATTAGAAACTTTTTAAAAGGTTAGATGAATGATATTTTTAGTTTGGTTTTCAATGAATCAATGCAAATAGTCCAAACATGTTTTTTAAATATTCCAGTTATAATAGTTTTAAGCTATTTAAAATAAAAATATATTATAGTATTATTGATAATATTATTATATATATATATTAGTTATCAACAATTTTATTTGCAATACATTGCAATCTAACATACTTCAAAATTAAGTTTATTTATTATACAATTTATAATAATTGACTAAATGCATTGAAAATATAATTTTTAATTGTTAGTATAAATTATGACTATATTCTTAACAATTAGGCCCGGTTTTGTTTGTTGGGTCAAGGTAGCAATTAATCACGCAACAATAGGTATCAGCATACATCCGGCTATGGAGATTTAGCGTTCCACGTTAAATATAATTTACATTACAATACCGATTGCCCTGTGTTTTAACACATTCATATATGCTATGAAAATTTGATGTGCCCACACTCATTGTTTGTAACTTTTTAAATAGATTCATAATTAAAGTTCAAATGAGTGCAAAAAAAAAAAATAATAAATTTTTAAACAAGTAATAAATTTGATAAAATATCGATAAACTTTTCAATAAACTTATAACCATTACTGATAAAATTATGTTATAATTTTTTAATTAATCACAGCTATTTTGATAAATTCTATAATTTTTAGTAAAAGTGAAAGTACATAGTTTAAGAAACAATACAGTTGATACTACTATATTTTACCAAGAATTAAACCTGTAATATTTACTCCGTTTAATGATTACTATTAGAAAAGTCGACTTTATTATCAACTTTAGTTCCGGTATGATTATTTATAGATACCTAGTATATTTTTAATTATCTTATATGTCGTTACGTCCACGTAAACAATACGTATTTCCATTTTAAACATTTTTCAGGAGAATGAAAAAGCTTTTTAATTTCGACTTCACCATTTGAATATAATCGATTTCGATGAATAAAATTAATACTATGACTTTTATGGCCATCCAACAAAAAAAAAAAAAAGAAACAGATTTATAAATTACAATTATAAAGAGATTCTAAATATTGTAAAATAAAAACATGATTTTTAATTAAGTTGGAGATACGTGTTGTTTACGTGGTCGTAACGAACTATTGATTTATATGTGATGCATAATAAAATAATTTCGACCATTTTATGCATCACGATTAATAATAATCATAGACAATGAAGTCCTGTATCATTTAATTTTAACTATAATCTATGTTTATGAAAATTACCTAATTATTATGTAATAAATTGTTAGTTGACTGATAGAGATATTTTATTTAACTATCTTACAATAGTATTGAAACTACAGTTACGCGTCCAATTAGATACTTAAATAACCATTTAGGGCCTATAAAAGTTTTAGATATTTAATAGAGAGGAGTAAAAATTTAAACCTAATAATTTTTATATATTTTTTCTACAAATCATTTAAAAACAATAATACATATTTATTATGAAATTAAAGTATCAGATCTTGTAACATGGAATTGTAACTATTTATTTTATTAATAACTGCGTCAATCTGTATCATATATATTTAAGGACATCATAGCTTTTTGTGTAATATTCTCACGGTAAACAGTATCTATTTACTGTTTGTCACTACACGAAACTATGTTCTCTCA